ATAATAATAATAATAATAATAATAATAATAATAATAATAATAATAACAATAAAAAATAGTAATAGCGATAATAATGATAATAATGAATATATATATGTATATATATATATACATATATATATACATATATATATATATATATATATATATATATATATATATACATATATATACATACATATATATATATACACACACACACACATATATATATATATATATATATATATATATATATATATATATATATATATATATATATATATATATATACATATGTATATATTCACACACACACACACACACACACCTGCTGCGTGCAATAGGTTGTATATTAAATAATTCCTAAACACCACCAAAATCTTGGTCACGTGGACAAGGGAGGAGCGTGGCGTGGGCGTCGCCTCGTGGCTAGAATCTTATCAATATACAGGAATGGCTTAAGTACCTCCTATACTAAAGTAATGTTAAAGGAAGGGTTAGAGGGATGGAAAAGTGAGACCAGAAAACTGCAGAGAGGACTGTCTTGGAAATAATACAAGCCCTGAAATTAAATGCAAAGCAGCGATAGAGTATCAGAAGCGTGTTCTTGGAAAATCCGTTTAGAAATGAATAAAACGAGCAATGAAATGGATACCAGAGAGAAAAAAGGTGTAAGAATAAAAACATGAACAAAGAAATGAGGAAAAAAGACCCAATGAGCGAACAAAAAAATCAGCACATCTAGAAAGTGCGATAAAATATAGTATTTGAAAATATTTTAAAAAGAGAAAATGTTTATATATAACGAAGAAGAAGAAAGACAGTGATCTTGGAAAAAAGAGAAGCAAATCGAATGAAAATAATTTTTAAACTATATCACAACCAATTGGCATCTTGATCATAAATATACGAAGACTAAGGACGCTGACAAGCTAAAAGGAAAATGGGTAGCCCCCGACCTAATCTACGGAGAGGTAAGCTATAGAAAAAAATAGGAAATGGAAAGCTCTGATACATAACCAGTGACAGGCAAGGACGCGGCCTAATGAAGCATGCTAGTCGTCCTAAGAGCAAGTCGAGAACACCCACCGTGGCATCGGGAAGTGACAGCGTGTTGAGCAAAGTTGGCATTTCTTTATTGCATAATATCATAAACGCACGAGGAAACAGCGTATGAGACACTTTCACCTCCCTAAGTTTAAATCCAAAAACAAAAACAAACGTAACTAAAAGACAGTGTAAATATTAATAAATAATCAAATGAACATCAGTACCTATGGAATAATACAAAGAATGGAGACGTTAGGGCTGGAGGAATATATCTCGATATAACAAAAATAATGTGGCTATAATACTCAAATAAGTGTGTGTAGGTGTAAGTAACTGACGCAATAACCAGAGATACACACGGTGTGAATGTCAAATACAGACCGCGTCAATCAGCATCTGCTCATATGAACAACAAGCGAAGTTGGGTCTATATTTGGGAGAGCAATTTTGCCTAAGATGAATATTCAGAGCAACGACCTGCTTTCACGAAAATAAACAAATCATCATATCTATACAGTAAAGTGTGATATTCAATAAGCTGATCATATTCAATAGGCTAAAAATACATGTAAATAGTAAAATAAATAAATAAATAAATAAAGCAGGAGCATAAACTGTCGCAAAATAAAAACTTCAATGAGGATACTGTAAATCACTAAAAAGTCAATAATACAAATATGCTCGAGAAGTTTTATGATGAATGTATTATGTTTATAACAGATTTGTGTCCCTTAAAAAGAAAAATATATAAGAGAGGAACTTTAAGAATATAACTGCTTATGACAACGACAAGAAATTAGAGATTAAAGAGTTAAAGAAAAATAGTTAAGGCTACAAGAAAGAATGCAAAATATTTCTGCTACTATCCTAACAACTTCATTGATCTTCAAAAACGAATACTTTATTATACAACTTCAAGGAAATAACTCCCATAAAATACATACGCAGATGTATTTTTCATGCAGTTATGAAAAATATTTCAGAATCATTAACGATGAATTGTATGTGTGTGTTGTTGCTTTTCAATGTATTTTAATATTTTAAAATACATATGTGTGTACACATACCTTTTACGGGGATATTTATGTATGTCTCTATTTATCTGTACATGAATACTTGTCGGTAAAGGACATTGAAACATTAACTTACGTAAATGTATAAAATGTATTTATTTCTTCCCTTCAAAAGACACTTAACAATAAATATTAAATAAGCACACCAGAGCATTTTCATATCTACTAAGTATCCACGAGTCCTTATTGTAAGAATTATTTAAATAGATATACAATAATCTGCTTGGCATTCCCTCAGAAAGGCCAAAAACACTACATTACATATAAACCTGAAAATGCAGTGCCGTAAGATACAAGAACTCTTTTTTTAGAAAATCATTATAGCACAAAATAAGAAACACGATACAGACAACACAGTTATAGAAAAAATACAAGCATTGTAATTCCCGTTCACATCTTTATACAGTTCTGGTGTTTCAGTACAACAGCGATTCAACCTCAATAGCAACTGATATCTCGGTTTGATCAGATAATTCCATGTTAGGGTCTATATTGCATATTGCCAATAGTAAGTAAATGGCAAGTAATAATATTATCTTTCCATTCCTATTTTCATTTAGTCAGTGGAATATATAAGAACCATTAAACGTAATACCCAAGAATCTATACTATATAACTGTATAATACGCATCATGACACCGTAACTTTCATCTAAAAAATACCTATTTTCGTTACCGCGCTTTCTCTCTTATTATGGTACGAATATGTTTAAATTTCGGTGACGTAAATATGTAGCATATATATCTAATCGAGATATCCAGGGAAATATATATACATAACTATATACGACACAGAGTAATGGTCCTCATGTATTTGTCTCAATGCCAAGTGAAGAGAGAGGCACAACTAGCATGGCAGAAAGAGGGACATCAGAAACATATTGATGCGCGTGTATATGTATGTATGTATGTATGTATGTATGTATGTATGTATGTATGTATGTATGTATGTATGTATGTATGTATGTATGTATGTATGTATGTGTATGTATGCATATGTATGTGTATGTGTGTATATGTGTATTGTATGTATATGTGTATGTATATGTATGTGTGTATGTATGTATATGTATGTGTGCATGTATACACACACAAACACACACACACACACACACACACACACACACACACACACACACACACACACACACACACACACACACACACACACACACACACACACACACACGCATACACACAATGAACCAATTTTCTATTGGCTAGGTATAAAGTGGAACCAATACCTTTACCACTAACTCTAGAATTAAACAATACAAAATACTTTACGCCACGGTAGAGAGGCACTTCCCAATGGTGTACTTAGTGTTCCACCATCATATAGCATAAGTACAAGTTACTTAGGGTAGGCGTAACGATTTGCATCTAAAATACAGAATGGTCGCCTTGAGGAAGTCATTTCAAGTCGCTTCTCAAAGAGTTAGGAATCGCTGTTTCAGAGCTCTACCAGTTCCGGAGTTCGTCCAGCACATTTTCCAGGAGCGGGTTGCCTCCTAGTTTGGCAATCTCCTCTCTCGCTTCGGCCTCCAGTTTCTTCATGGTTTCTTTGGTGTGCTCAAGGGAACCAAACTTCTCCAGGAGGGACACGCAGTAGCGTTTAACCTCCAGGTCTTCGGGTCTCTGACGAAGGATGTCTGAGGCTTATGGTCAAGGTTAGCCAGCAAGTAAGAGAGACGGGATCCTGCATTTAGGGTTTTCATCATTGTTATTAATTATCATAAATCTCATCATATATACATTTAACCCTTTCTCAACCCACAATTGTATTCAAGCAAATTGTAAATATGTACGATCACATGCAAAGAAACTCACACATGTACGTAATGATGCAAAGAAAAACACTCTTACAACTACATAGCAATAACAGAGAAAGTGCTGCGCAAAATTAATGGTAAAAATGTAGCCTTCCTTTTTAATCAAGGGAAGAGAGCACATAAGAATCTGGAAATATGAAGCGGAATGCTCAATGCTTAAATATGTGAAACAAGTGACACACTAACCATAAGAAAGAAAATAGTGACAGGGTTTAGGTGATCACTGGTGCTCATTAATGTCTTCACCTTGAAGAATTCGGCGTGGAAACAAAACAAAATAAATCAAAATGCTAAAAATAAATGGAAGAAAAATAAGAATAGTAACAGAGCCGGTGTAGACTAACAAAGATGACGCTTTGCCCATTGATTGACTGAGGGGTCACATATACTTAGAATGACTGGTCTCTCACCTGTCTGTGCTTTTGCCTCATCACTGCCCAGAGTTTGGTGTTGTTTCCGTTTCAGGGCAAATGACATAAATTCAGCAACAGGCAGAAAAGCAAGGACATGTTGGGTGCGTAATCTCGAACCGCCACTACACCGATCGTGACGTCGACAAAGGAGTCATTCAAGGGATTACCACTTCCTGTGCGACCGATGCTTTGCAGCCCTTGAAGGCTTCCGCGATGACGAGACCAATATCATCATTCAGGCTGATAATGGTAGGGATACTTCTGCTTTTGGATAAAACTGAATATATGCGCAAAATGAACAATTTATTGCCTGGTCTCGACTGAGCGCATTCTTGGCCTGCCTCTTCTTCTTGGCTTCGTTAAGTAGATGATGGCCTCGTCATCATTCCCAGAAGATTCCACTTACGTCAAAAGCTGACGTAGCTTAACACCGTCCACGAGAAAATCCATTTTACCGTGGAGGAAGTGTCAGAAGCTACCCTCCCAGGACACTGATCCATCTGGGTGATGGCGGCCTGTGTTCCTCTCAAAAACTCCCAACGCCATGGTGGTGCACGTAGTTGAAGCTGGGAGTTTACCGGATTGGAATTGGCTGGTAGCAAGCAAAAGTGATCCATGGAGGACTGAATAAATAAGAAAGAAAAATAATGGAAACTGCATACGTCGCGATGGGGGAGACTGTAAACACCGCAGCTTCAAATTATCCAATTGTCTCTGCAACAACAATGCGGGTAACAGCAACAGATGATGGATGTCAGGTGGTTCTTCACCTCATGTCTGGTATTTACTTGTTGGTAATCTCGTTGGTGTAGGTATATCTGACAAAGGCAAACTATTAACTGGCTAAATGCATTTCTTGCGCTGTGAAGACGTCCATTCTCATTTAAACATTTTATTCTATATTTGTCGCAATGAACTGTCCAATTTTAAACGAGGTACAGCTGTCTTCCATCAAAATATTTCCCCGAAAAACTAAAGCCAGGCACCTCAAAAAAAATACATAGAAAACAATCAGAATAACCACTGAAGCATAACAGTTTTAAAATTTTAGATCAGTTAAATCTATTAATACCTGTAATGACATTTTTGCATTAAAAAGGATACTAATAACTTGCTGGTCGTCAGGTTGACTTTTAATGGCATGGATGACCGGAAAGCTGAATTTGCCTTCTGTCAAATCCTCACAGTAGCTCTTGCTGTCACAGTACTGCAAGAAGAATAAAACCACAACTCTCAAAAGCAATGCGGGAAAGAGTAACATTAAAAGTTAAAACCTAAAAGGACTGGTGAAACTTGCTTCAAAAATGTAACACATGCTGCAATCGATATTGCACTCTCCATATGTCAATATTACTAATAGCAAGTATTTGTAATTTTTACTGCTATGTGATATTAATGGCAAACATATACACATACAAAATGAGTTTTTTACACATGTGGTTTAGACAGTTTATTGATTCGTTTTTACCATTATAAAAGAAAAAAAAATGCTTTGATATTCTTACCTCCTTCAAGCAAAGGATTGCATAGTCATTACGGATCTGGAAGTATAGCCCCAAAATTCCTGTGATTCTTGAAAAGTCCTTTTGAGATTGACTGAAAAGTTGCATTAAGCGAATAGACAAGCCAAACAATCCCCCTGTTTCTGAAAAAAAGAGTTTTATGATTTTAATGCGCGAGTTACGTTATAAAATAAACAACAGCCAAATTAGTTTTTACTAAAATCCTTGATTCCAGTTAAAAGAAAAAAAAATCATTGTGGATATACTAAATTATGTTCACGGGATCTACGTAATAATGCATTGTCACAGTTTGTATAAAAGATTTTTGCAGTAAAGGACGTAAATCTAATTTCTTATATATCTTTCATTAATCTGTAATATGAACTACCGATAAATATAGACATTCTAGACTTTTTAACATTATAAATAACCCATTTTTACAGCAGAAAACAACAGCGTCTTCTCTCCTCGTAAACCACAAGAGGGATACCTAAGATAAACAGCATGCATGAAACCACCCTAAAAGTCGATTAACTTTATTGCTCTGTCTCTGAACATACCTTTGGATGATTCAGGGCTAGAACTTTCTCGAGACCCAGGAAATAAACATAATTAGCAGAGTTTATGGTTGCTGCAGTTCCATATATACGATGTGCCACAGGAATACCTCGCCGTAAAACACTGTTGTCCTCTATGTCATCTATTCTGTAAAATAAAACATATTCACCCCCGAAATCCATTTAGTTAGTTATGCCTGATACCCCCAGAATAATCCATAATACAGTTAAATACATGTTAACATAATACATGTTAAATCTGTAAAAGATGGTCGCTCAACATCATATATGTAAATTAGTAATACTCACAAAAGACTAGCATTATGCAGCAAGTAGATAACCTCAGATATGGCCCTTAGTTTATCCTCAGGTATCCTCATCCAGTAATTGAAAGCCTCAACTAACTTCCCTCTAGTCATCTTCCCCGTGACTTGGAGGACGTGAGTGAACGGTTGCAAAAGGATCTGCAAAGACAATTCGACGAGATGGGTCAGTCTCTGGCATATAATTACGAGATACATAGTGAGATGACGCAGATGACAGAATAATGGCATTAAACATGATCTATCTTTTGTTGTTTTCAGATGAAAGACAAGATACCTTTAGAAAAAAATATATAATATCCTCTATATATCTCTTTGTCTATATATATACGTCTAAAGTACGCTGAAAAATATAATATATCATACCAAGTGATAAATGGTCTCATTCAGTGGTATTACTAAATTCAAAGTTGCCTAGAAAACACTGTAACAAAATATTCAGTGACACTTGCCTCACTTTATATTTCAGTAAAGGTAAAAATTGCCACTAGACTGACGGGTAGAACCATAATGCATTCCTTCCCACTCTGCTTTCAAGTATCCATTGTAAGCACCTGATAACCCCAAATTTGCATTTCTGTGACACTGTTTCAAAATCTTCCATCCTCAATGTAAGACACAAAAAGCATGGCGCGTCCAAGTTACTAGGATGAGGTGTCTGTTGATGCATGCAAGATGCGACGGTACAATGCCATGCTTTCAATTAGTCATTAGTATCTTAGGCGAATTCCCATGAACAGAACACTGCAAATTGCCTTTTCAAGGCACT